TAGTGCCCACCTGTAGCTAAGGGAGACAATCCACTATTGTTCTAAAATGATACATTTTTTTTCTCCCCTTATCTAGACACCTTGGAGAGGGAACTGACACTGATTCTAACCACTCCAACAGCTATCAAAATGCCTGAAAGCAAATCCTGAATCCATCACTCTGTAGTCCAGCCTTAGCAGACAAAAGAAAAATGAGGAGGAACCCAATAGAGGGATGCTTCTGGAAGTCCTTGTCAAAAAATTCCAATGGACTTTGATATGAACATTTGAAAATTGCCCTGTCCTTTTTTCTAGTTCCCTGTCTAGAACTTGTAATGCTAATTACTCTTGCCTTTACTTCTCCTTCACATCTCCTATTCACCAGTCAAGGACTTTCTTTTCCCCTACAGATAGGAGTTATGCAATTTGGGAGTCTTTTAGATAGACTCTCTGAAGGGGTACCCTAATTGCCTCACCCTGCATCCCTGTTCAACATGGAAGAAGCCAGAGCAGTCTGCGTCCTGATTCCCTACCCACAATTTGGGTAACCTTTTCAGAGGATGGTGTGATACGAATAGGAGGTAGGAATTGGCTAGGCAGTTAGGATAAAAAGACGCCAAAGAAAAGTAGCCAGTTTCTTGGCTAAAAGTCAAAATGTCCTTGGGCCTCTTAGCAATATACTCTGTTCCAAAGGCCAAAAATGTCAAAAGTATTTGGAGCTCTTATTTAATCCTTAAAAGATTTTAATGTTACCTCTTCATAGGGGGGATGTTAGAGTAGCAAAAAGTCCCATTAAAAAAATAAGAAGAAAGAATACATGAAGTTATCAGAAAAAAGTGATGGGGTTATATGGGAGGAGTTGGAGGGGAGGGAGTGGGCATGGATTTGATCAAAACACCTTATATGCTTATATGCCTGTATGAAATTCTCAATAAATTATTTTTTAAAAATGTATGCGGTCACCTCAAAAAAAAAAAAAAGAATTTCATTTTGTAACAGAGCTAATTTCCCAGGAAAATCTGCAGAATCTAGAAAAATGAAGACTTCAGAAACAATGGACTTATTCAAACCAAAGGACTTTCCCTACATTTTTTGTGTCATTAACATTTATTTCAATTAAAGATTATGAATTCAGAATTTTGGGAAGGTCTACTGTCATACCAACCTAAATGTGCCTGATCTAATCAGAATTAATGCACGTTAAAACTTTAAAGTATTTGGCAAAAGAAATGCTATTAAAAGTTTGAGTAAAATTCTAATCCTGTTCAAATATCACAGATAAGACACTAACAAAGAGTACATTGCAAAGACAGCCAGATTCCAGTACAGTCTGGTTTGTCAGAATTAATTCAGTAGTACAGTCTCCTTGGGGGAGAGGCAATGTGCACTTTCACTATCAGCTGCAATTAATACAGCTATGTTTACATATATAAACCAAATTCTTTTATCAGAGAATATAGCAACCAGCTATTAGAGTGATATTTAACAGGACTTACATCTATACCATAAACATTTTTTTTGAAAATAAATATGATATAATCTATTTCCAAAGTGTCAGAAAATTGAAAAACACATATACCAGAACAAATTTTCCACATACATTTAAAAACATATAATTAGAAAATAACATCTAGCTTCACACAGCAACTAAAGCACACACTAAAAACCATTACTTCTCTTTGTATAAACTGAATACAACACTTGAATATTTCAAAGAAACTGCTGTTTTGTCAAATATTACTAAAGTTTGTTCTCTGAATGATCAGAAGACATATCAATTACAAGGGAAATGAAAACTAAGAAACAGGAACACAGTGTCTTGTGGTTTTTAGAGATCAACATGTAAGTAATCTCCAAACATAATTCATCCCTGACTACGCCATCTGCCTGGTTAGAAAAAATTTAAAATTATAAGAGTTTTATTTTTATTTTCCTTGAATATATGAAATTTCCACCCATCTAGTGCATTTGGGATTTTTTTAGACATCTCTAAAGTGGCTAGCAATCACAGCTTTTAAGGGTTGTTGGAATGGTTATAGAGAATGGACAGGGGTCTGAGACTTTCACGGTGAGCATCTCACACAATTGGAATGATTCATTATCTTAAAACTGTCCAAGGCTGTTTTAACACATTCAGAGAGGCACTAGCTGTACAGAGGAAAGAGGTAATGATCAGTAATTCCAGCTTGGATAACAAACACAAAGAAACAAAGGTTGGATTGACATTGTATTCGCCATGTCATAACACTGAAAAAAATTAACCTTTCTGCCCAAAACGGTACTGAAAGGGCCTCATCTTAAGATTCTGTATTTAATGCAGCCATGAGATCTGTCACTCCTTAATATTCATGCAAACTCACAATTAGCATCACTGGAAATTTCATCATACAAACTGCAGTTCTCAATGCTATGCCTAAGACGTACAGTTCCCAAACACATGGCAAGCAGTGTACGTGCGCAATGGAGCTACCAAGCTGCGTACCCATAATTTCTTAAGGCCTTACAAAAAGTCACTTGACAATTTAAGTCTCTTCTCTGTCAAAGAAATAAAAGAAAACAAATATTATGAATCTTAACTATGTAAAATTTGTAACTTTTCTATATAGCCTTGAATTATACAAAAAGAAATTTAAGTAAGAAATTTCATATTTACAATGAGATTTTCATAAAACCTAACTGCATATTCCCTTTAGCATTGTGATTTTTGTGGCTTTCAGAAATAACTACTGAAACACCTACAAGTTATTGTTCTGAAGATCTTCAGGAAATGAACAAGCTCAGATGTCCACAGGGGTGCCGTCTTACTTTTTATATTTTAAGGTGCTTTATGCAGGACGCCCTTGACCAAAGCGACTTTTAGACCTAGATTTTTTAAACAAAAAAGAAAGTCAGACTTGCTTCTAGAACAACAGGATGCTGCTGTGGCCTGAGAACATCACTGTTCAATGGAACTTCGTGTAGCTCCACCATGCATCTTCTAAAACCCTTAGAATTCAGATTTAAAAAAAAATTTTTTTTGCATTTTGTATACAATGGACCTGGACTAGTGTCCCATAATGAAACACACTGATGCTTCTTCAGTAAAACAAATGGACATTTATTTTAGATTGTGAGAAAAATAAAAACTACAAATACCATAGTTCAAGATGGACTTCCACAAATGTATGGAAAAGGGTAGAATCTCTAAGCTTTGCATATTTCAGAGTTACAAATATTTATGTTCAAATCTCACTAACTGCTCATTTCCTTTTTTAAAATTTAATTTTATGTGTATAAGTGTATTGCTTGTTTGTAACTGTACCACATGAGTGCAATGCCCATGGAGACCAGAAGAGGGCATCAGATCCCCTGGAACTGGAGTTATAGATAGTATGTTAGCCACCATGTGGAGTTATAGATAGTTATGTTAGCCACCATGTGGGTGCTGGGAACTGAATCCAGGTCCTTTTGCAAGAGCAGCCAGTGCTCTTAACTGCTGAGCCATCTCTCCAGCTCCATAACTGTTCATTTCTAATAGAAAATGTGTGATAGAAAATGACACTAGACTTACAAGTTATATTTTATTAGGACAAGTAAGATATTACTATACTCTGGAAGCTTTCTGATAAGAACAAAGACACACGCCACTGCCTGTTCTGGTAAGGGTCAAAGTTAACATACCTGCCAACCACTCAGACAGAATAAAGGCTCAGGAAAATGGATTGTTCCAGAGATCTTAAAAATAATACAAAGCCTATTTATAACACAGATAAACACAATATTCTCCGTGGTCACTGGCTACTCTCACACCTTGGCAGTGTGCTAACTTTTACTCTGCAGCAAACTCTGCCGATCTTCCACAGAGAGAGAGAAAACAGAGCAAACAGAACAGGGAACAGTGATTTACATGAAGTAATATATACTCTATAAACATTATAAAATGTTGCCAATTAATAGTTAAACTGTAGCAACTATTATTATTATTTTATTATTTGGTGCTAGAGATCAAACCTAGGGCCTTGAGTGTAATAGGCAAGCACTTTACCTCTAAGTTATCTCTCACAACCCCTGTAACTTTCATTTTTATTAGTTGACTCAGGATGGAGCTGGCCCAATAAACAGAAAACTTAAAAATACTAAATCTTATGCTTTCATGAAATTTTGTGTTCATAACCTTCAAAAAGGAATCAGGGTGGTAAAGGGAAAGAAAGAACCTGAGAGAAAACAGTAGGAGACAGGTGTTACTATGGGAGAAATGGGTAAAATGGGGGTATTAAATTGGGGGGGGGTGTATACAAGGAACTTTGGGGATAAAGGGAAAGAAGGACCTCAAGAGAGATGGGGCAATAGGAGACTGGTATTGTCAAGGGAGAAATGGGGAAAAAGGGGACACTTTAAATGGGGAAGTCATGGTGCAAGGGTTAGATAGGGAGAGGAGAGATAAATAATGCCTAGCTAGTGTGAAAAATAAACAGAGGAAGGCAGAGGCAGGTGGATCTCTGTGAGTTTGAGGCCAGCCTGGTCTACAGGACAGCTGGGGCTACAGAGATACCCTGTCTCAGTAAGACAAAAAGAAAAAGAAAAAAAAAAGAAGAGGAGATCATATTAGTCCAACAACCTAATGACAAATTACACACACAGTATCTCTAAATAAGTCCATGTGCATAGCTAAAGGCTACATAACAAGAAAGGAGAAACCTTAACTGTGAGTTGTTGGCCAGGGTGGTCCAAGAGACTCCCCAAATTACACAGGCTATATTGCCTTGATTGCCCCCCAGAACTTGAAGGTAAGACCCTACTGCTGAAGACAGGACATACTTCAGACACAGAATTTAGAACAATGCAGCTGGAACTGACCTGGAAGCCACTTCCCCTGAAGGCTAGCTAGCATAGCTTTGGAGAGCACTATGCAAGGTGCTAAGGGAGAACATCAACTGATGGTCCAACACCAGCTTCAAGACCAAATAACCACATCAATGACCTGCATAGCATACGTCACTGGTGCAGTAGTGGCATTTTTAACTTGGGGGCAATCAACAGCTACCTAATTGGACTAAAAGCCCACTCAATGGGAGGAAACTCATGTGTGGAACTATAAACATAGCCAAATACAAATGGCTGGAAAGGTCACAGATCTTAGAGAAAACCCCCAAATTGTCATATCCCTAGACTAATATAATTTCTTACTATGTGCAAAACATGTATCCTTATATTTACAGACAAATATCCCAGTATTCATCAAAGAAGCTTCTTTTGCACCAGATGGAGACTATTACGGAGTACCACAACTGGTCACACATAGACATTGTCTGTGAATTGCCCAAGTCTAAGTAGCACATCTACAATGCAACCTCTACACCAAAGTCTCACGGAACATAGAACAGGGGTAAAGAAGACAATAATGAGTATCTAAACTCCCATTAATGAAGCTCCCTCATGCAACAGCAGGAACACAAAAGATCACAAATGGCCAAAGCATAGAGAGTAAGAGTCTGCAGAATTCTGGTCCTTGGACAGGACTCCTATATTAAACTATACCCACCCAGGGTTCAGGGAACATTGCAGAAGAGAGGGCTGAAAGACTGTAAAAGCCAGGGAGGAACTGCATGACCATATGGAAATAAGAGTCCTACAAGCTCCTTGGACCCTGCTCACATGAACCTACAGCAATAGTGTCAGCATGTACAGGACCCAGGCAAACTCAAGCAGACAAAAACCCAGCATAGAATTAAGGAAATGGACAGCTGAACAATTACTAGCAACTGATTACTGCTGGGTGAGGAAAAGCTGACCTTCCTAAAGTGAAAGAGTCTAGATAGGCTGATTAGACCTCAGTCAATGAACCTGCATTCGTCTGGAGACACTAACTTGATACAATAGACCTTAAGACAAATGACAGAATGTATGAATTCCAGTGGGGAACTAAGGGAGGGTGCCAGTAGGGAAGGGGATATGAAAATGATTAGACTGATTGAGATATTCTGTATGAAATACACAAAATTCAATAGAAAAAATAGTTTTCTACCAACATAAAAAAACTTGATTTTTAATTGAAAATCAGTTCTGATTGATGAAATATGAAACCAAACTCAAATCACACCTTTCTAGTGTTCATATAGTTTACTCTGGAAAGTTGCATTCTGATTATTTTCTGCAGATTTACCTTGGGTTTTTGTCTGAGCTGTTTTGCCGGGTGCTGATCGGCACTGAGGCTTTGATCTGTGCTTCAAGCCTGGAATAAATGCCTCCTGCAAACTATAAAATAAAGAAACAAAATTAAGTCATTCTCAAGGAAATAACACTATTACTGCACTATTAACACTGCACAATTTCAAATTTTGAAAGTAATTTTCTTTTTTAAAAGGATCTTTCCATTTTATTAGACTAAAAAAATGCAACAAACCCAGAAAGAACCAGGGAAAAGATGGTGAAGGAAATATAGAAGAGTGTGCGAGGATCAGAGGGCATAGTGAAGGCAGCGAGGGGAGAGGAGAAGTCAAGAGCCTTGGGTCAGGGGAGGAAGGAGCTTTCTAAGGACCAGACATCTATTTGATGACAATTTTCTGCCTGCCACAAGGGTCGGGGTCCAGAGTCAGGGCTCAGAAGGTGGTAGGCCAGGGCCAAGGACTGAGGCAGTGGGTGGCAGTCCATGGTCAGTGATGTACTTCTGGTAGGCCTCACAAATGATCTTGAAGGCTTGAGCAGTGGCAGAGGGAGTGTGTGTACAGGGTCCTGCCCCCAGGCTGGATGATGGGTCACTGGGCAGCCCTCCCAAAAGGAACCTTTTTGGGTCACCCCTGGGGGAGCCATTCCTCAAATGTCACATTATCATTAAATGTGACATAGGTATGTGAGCAGCAAGCAGGAGGGATGGCAGACCCCATCCCAGTATGCGGAGTCAACGCAGAAGCTGTGGCTGCAGGATCACGTCCTTCTATGTCCACATTCTCTTCCTTGAGCCAGGCTTCCACTGGCTCTGGGCACTTCCCTTCTTGTGAACCTGCTTCTTTTTGTCAGCCACGAGGAGTTTGTATGTCTCTGGTGAATGTCAATTGAGCTCTTCTGTGATCTTGGCCTCCCTGAGCAGCTCTTCCTGGGTTAGTGGGCACTCACATTCGACCTCCCTGACCTCCAGGCCTGTCCTTGCCTTTCCTGAACACGAAGGAACGTCTGTCTGTCTCGTGTGCTCAGCTGTAGGTACTCACGGACTTCCGACTGTCAAAGCGTCATCCTGTAGTGGCAGCAGTGCTTTCTCTTCTCAGGCCTTCTGAAAGCTACTTGCTGGGGTGCTGACCTTTCGAGGCTACAAGCTATTTAGAGGCTCCTTACAGGCTTTGGTGACTACCTGGTGCTTCCTTCTTGGCTCTTCTGTTTTTCTATCACTGGATGGTTCATCTCCTTCATCAATGTCAGAGTCAGAGTTCATCTCATCCTCTGTATCTGACTCATCTTGATACTCATCATTTCTAGACTCCTCTGTGAAACCTCCATAAATCATCTGGTAGAACTCATCTTCCTCCTCTGCCTCCAGGAGCCCAGAAAGCTGGTTTCCAGTTGTCTTCCAGGGGGTCCCTGGTCCCCAGCCAAACTCATGTCATCTATAGAGACTGCACTGTCACCAGTGGCCCCTCACCCATCTCGGGTTCTCAGATATCAGTCCTCGATACCATCGGAAGTACTTTCATTTCTGATTTATAAAATTCAGGCTTTTTGATGTATTACATACATTAAAATTCACCATTTCAGTATATAGTTCTTTGTCTTCACAAATGTGTTCAGTTGTATAATCCCTCAGCAATGAAGATAAAACAGGCCTATCACCCCTTAGAAAATCCCCTGGAATCTATTTGAAGCCAGCCCATGTACCACTACCAATTCCTGGCAACCACTGATTGATCACCTTTTCTGTCTTTACAGTTTAATACTTTCCAGAACATTTCTGTATAAGGAATCATACAGTATGCAATATTTTGAATGTTTTTTTCCATTTAGTATAATGTATAGATTTATCCATGTTGATATATATATATACTTATACATATATAAAATTGAGTTTGTGTGTGTGTGTGTGTGTCAACAAGCCCCAGTGGTCCTTCTGTCCCCACCTTCCTCAGTGCTGGGGTTACAGGCATGCACAAAACCATGCCTAGCTTTTATGTGGGTCCTGGAATCCAACTCCTGTCCTCACATCATTCTTAACCACTAAGCCTTCTCTCCAGCCCCTATTATTGTTCATATGTGTAGTTTATCTATTTGTTAAACTCCAAACTTTTTTTTCCTTTGACAGAATCTCATGTAGCCTAAGCTGGTCTTGAACTCACTATGTAGCTAAGGATGACCTTGAATTTCTGACCCGTCTGTCTCCACTTCTTGAGTACTCGGACTGCACCACCATATCTGGTTTATGCAGTTCTGGGGATCAAACACAGGGCCTCATGCATGTTAAGCAAACATTTCCTACTGAGTTTATCTCCAGCAACCAAACACTCTTGAGCCTGAGATTTCTTTGAGAGAAAAGGGCTTACTGAGCTTTATAGAAATAGAAACAGGGCTGAGCGTGGTGGTGCATGGCTTCAATCCCAGCACTTGGGAGGCAGAGGCAGGTGGATCTCTGTGCGTTTGAGGCTAGCCTGGTCTCCATAGGGAATCCAGGCCAGCTGGGGCTATAGGGAGACCCTGTTTCAAAAAAAAAAAAACCAAAAATTATTTATTTTTATTTTATGTTTATGAGTGTTTTGCCTGCACCTGTATTGTACAGTGTCCATGGAGGTCAGAAGAGGGCTTTGGATCCCCTGAACTGGAGTTACAGACAGTAGTTAGCTGCCATATGGGTGCTTGGAACTGAGCTTAGGTCCTCTGCAAGAGCAGCCAGTGCTCTTAACCACTGAGCCATCTCTCTAACCCTTTTCCAAACCTTTTAAATTCAATACATCTCAGAATTTTTCTCTTGCCACATTTACCAAGGACATTATCTGGGGGTCTTTCTCTGGTTTTCACAATAATGAATAAAGCCACTGTAAGTACATACAGATTGTGAGAAACTGCCAAACTTTCTCACAGCAGCCAGTGTTTTGCACTCCTACAACCTATATAGGAGAGTTCCATTTGTTGCACATCCTCACCAGCACTTTTAACAAAGATTGCAGACATTTTAGAAACAGTGTCTCATTGAGATTTTGATCTGTATTTCCGTGATTACTAATGATGATGCACTTTTTCGTGTTTCTCATCTAAACCCTTTCCCTCAAGATGTTTGGTTAAGCCTTTGCCTATTTATTTATTTTATTCATTTATTTGTTTTTTGAGACAGGGCCTTATTGTGTAGCCCTGGCTGGCCTGGAATTCACTGTGTAAACCAGGCTGGCCTCAAACTCATAGAGATCTGCCGGCCTCTGCCTCCAAAGTGCTGGGATTAAAAGTATGCACCACCATGCCCAGCTTGCCTATTTTTATTGGGTCATTTTATTATTTAGTTTTGAGAGTTCTTTACATATTCTGAATATAAATCTTTTATTAGATAAATTTTACAGTTTCTTATTATGATTTGCCTTTTTAAAAAAATATTATTTTTATTTTATGTGTATGAGTGTAATGCCTATGTGTAGGTAGGTGCATCCATGCTGTGCAATGCCTGAGGAGGTCAGAAGAGGACATCAAATCCCCTGGAACTGGAGTTACGAATGGTTGTTAGCTACCATGTGGGTGCTGGGAATCAAACCCAGGTCCTCTGCAAGAGCAGCCAGCTCTCCAGCCCCATGATTTACCTTTTAATTATCTGGGTTTTTTTTTGGTCTTTCTGAAACAGGGTCTCCCTGTAGCCCCAGCTGACCTGGAACTCACTATGTAGACCAGGCTGGCCTTGAACTCACAGAGATCTGCCTGCCTCTGCCTCATCATCATGCCCTACTCCACCAAGCCATCTTATAGGTCTTGTGGCTAAGAAAATTTTTTCTAAATGAGGATCACAAGGATTTTCTCCTTTGTTTTCTTTTGTAAATTTTATGGTAAGTGAACTTTTCTTCTACCCTTTCCCATCCTGTTCTGTTTCCATTAATTAATTTTATTTTTGGTGTTGGAGATTGAACTCAGGGCCTTGTGCATGCTACACTTCTATCAAGGAAGTAAAAATTTACACAAAAGGAGCCGGGTGAGAGTTATGGTGCATATATAATATAAATACTAGTAATATATAATGTTAAGACTGACAACGATTCTGGTAGGAGCACAGATATTTCTAGTTCTGATTTTCAACAAGATAACATCTTTTTCTTTTTTTTTTTTTTTTTTTTTTTTTGAAACAGGGTCTCCTTGTAGTCCCAGCTGTCCTGGAACTCACTATGTAGACCAGGCTGGCCTTGAACTCACAAAGATCCGCTTGCCTCTGCCTCCAAGTGCTGGGATTAAAGGTATGCGTAACCACGTCCAGGCTAAGATAACATCTTATCTTCAAGATAACATCTAGGCAATACATGCAAAGCTGATCTAAATCAGCACTTTCTTTACAAAGTCACTTGGCCAATAACGCACAGCTAACCTATTCTTGGTGTGATGTTACACTTTAAAGATAATATGCTTTACTATGTGTGATACAAAGGACCTATGGATATTGAGCAATGACAGAAAACTTATATGTGGGGGCTGGAGAGCTAGCGCAGAGGTTAAGAGCACTGACTCCTCTTGCAGAGGGCTTGGGTTTGATTCCCAGCACCCACATGGTGGCTATGAGCTGTCCTTAACTCCAGTTCCAGGAGAATCTGATGCCCTCTTCTGACCTCCGCAGCATTTCATGACATGGGTACACCCAAATACATGCAGGCAATACACTCATACACATAAAATAAAAATAAATAAAATATTTTTAAAAAAAGAAAATGAAAACATACATGAATTCTGGCTGATACAGAATATAAAAATATCTAAAATGATCCCTTAAAATTCTTTTAAAAACATCTTGAGGAAGCCAGGCATGGTGGTGTACGCCTTTAATCCCAGCACTCAGGAGGCAGAGGCAGGCTGATCTCTGTGAGTTCAAGGCCAGCCTGGTCTACATAGTGAGTTCCAGGACAGCTGGGGCTACAGGGAGACCCTGTCTCAAAAAGACCAAAAAAAAAAAAAAATTCTTGACACTAGGGGGGGGGGGGCATGTTTTTAATCCCAGCACTCAGAAGGCAGAGGCAGGCTGATTTCTGTGAGTTCAAGGCCAGCCCAGTCTACATAGTGAGTTCCAGGCCAGCTGGGGCTACAGGGAGACCCTGTCTCAAAAAAAGACCATTTTAGCCAGGCATGGTGGCACACGCCTTGAGGCAGAGGCAGTCAGATCTCTGTGAGTTCAAGGCCAGCCTGGTCTACATAGTGAGTTCCAGGACAGGTGGGGCTACAGGGAGACCCTGTCTCAAAAAAAGATTTAAAAAAAAAGACCATCTTGACAATCTTCATGTTAAAAATGAAACAAGAAGCCAGGCGTGGTCCCAGCAAGATCTCTGTGAGTTCAAGGCCAGCCTGGTCTACATAGTGAGCCTGAGCTGAGACTGCAGGGAGACCCTGTTTCAAAAAGACAACGACAAAAACAACAAAAACCCAAGGAGCCAGCCGTGATGGTACATATCTTTAATTAAGGCACAGGCAAAGGCAGAGGAAGGTGGATCTCTGAGATCAAGGCCAGCCTGGTCTACACAGCAAGTTCCAGGCCAGCTGGAGCTATAGGGAGATCCTGTCTCAAACAAAACAAAACCAAGTAAATAAAATAAAAAAAAGAAGAAAAATCATATGAAAGTATAGCACAGTGGTAAATAATTCTTACTTCTTTTGCTTCCTTTGACTTGACTCGGTCCAGATCACCCAATCTCATTTTTATTAAATGTCCTGTAATTTCAGACATCCGCCGCTGATCTGAGGGTAAAAATAGAAGAATGCTTTTCATGAGAATAACACCGTAACTTTTATTCATTTAAAAATTTAAAAATATTTTAGACTGGAGAGATGGCTCAGCAGTTAGCAACACTGGCTGCTCTTGCAGAAGACCCAGGTTTGAATCCCAGCATCTACGCGGCAGCTAACAACCATCTGTAACTCCAGTTCCAGGTGATTCAATGTTCTCTTCTGTCTTCTGCATGCACTGCACGACATTGTTTTATGTGTATGAGTGTTTTGCTGCATGTATAAGTGCACCAAATGTGTGCAATGCCTGTGGAGGCCAGAAGAGGGCATAGGATTTCAAGGAATGGAGTTATGAACTGTTAGCCACCATGTGGATGCTGGGACCCAAACCTGGGTCCTCTGCAAGAGCAGCCAATGCTTTTAACCACTGAGCTATTTCTGCAAGCCCCCATATTTAGTTATTCTTATGGTAAAAGTACTATGCAAAAATTAGTCTGAGAGATCTCAAAGTTGCAGATATAGAAACAATACATGACCTACTGGACTGTCACATGCATGAAACTCTGATTGGTGCCTAAGAAAATGTGCAAATTTTGGGCCTTAATCTAGATGGAACCTTTTAAACTATTCAGCACACTTCACAAAAGACATGCTTTGGGGGCTGGAGAGATAGCTCAGCAGTTAAGAGTACTGGCTGTTCTTACAGAGAACCCAGGCCCGATTCCCACCTACATGGTGGCTAATAATCATCCATAACTTCAGTTCCAGGGGATGTGACACCCTCTTCTGACCTCTGCCGGCATTGCACAACAAAGGTGTACTTACACACATGCAGGCAATACACTCACACACACATAATAAAAGTAATAATAATAATAATAATAATAATAATAATAAAAGATATCCTTTGGGCTGGAGAGATAACAGCCTGGAACTCTAGCTTCAGGGTATCTGACACTCTCTTCTGGCCTCTGTGGGTACCTGAGCTCATGTGCATATACTCCTCAATACATATAATTTTAAAAAAGACATTGTTATCTGTATCCAATGTGTATGTCACTCAGATAATAAAACTTACCATCTTCTCTCTGTGCATCCTGGTTGAACCTCAAGGACCTTGTGGCATCCCACTTATTCTTCTGCACACTCACACTATTGAACAAGGTGAACAAAATAAGTACTTATGCTGCTTTCAGTGGACTTTCAGTTGGATCAAGGAAGAAATACTCACACAAAAGGAGACACATCTCTAGAAGTTGACTGAAAAAAAAGATAACATTAAGGCCTAGTTAGAACACATTTATTGATTAGTGCTCTAGTTAACTATAAAAAGAATTTACTTCTGTTGAGTACAAGATACTATACCGAGAACATTTTTTATTTATTTTATGTGTATGAGTGTATTGCCTGCATGTATATAAGTGCACCTGTGTTGTGCAATGCCTGCCGAGGCCAGAAGAGGGTGTTGGATCCCTTAGAACAGAAGTTATGAATGGCTGTTAGCTGCCATGTAAATGCTGGGAATCGAACCTGGGTTTTCTGCAAGAGCAGCCAGTGCTCTTAACCCCTAAGTCATCTCTCTAGCCCCACCAAGACCACTTAAGAATATTATTTTATTTAACCTTGCAGCAACAATTGGAGACAGGCACTATTATGACTTCATATTAACTCAGGTTCAGAGAAGTTAAGAAACTTCTCCAAAGAGAAAAAGACATAGACTTTGAACCCAGCTCTATCTGTTGACATCGGAACCCTAAGCTTATACAGTCTTTAAAAATTAACCCATGTGTCTATGGTTTTTAATAAGATGAAGGCACAATGTGTCCAGTGTACCTGTGCATCTTCCACAGATCTAGAACGCATGATGGTCTCTCTTAGCCAATTGATGCTATGACTGTTCTTTCAGTCCTGTATGGAATTGTATCTCTTCCTTCAATGGCCCAGGGAAATAAAAACTATTTTTAAAGGTCATAAAATATAATTTACTTCAATTTTAAGTCTATTTACTTTTTGCTAATACATACAATTGGTTAAAATCCCAAAAGTTAAATATACATATAATGAAAAGCACCTCAGAAGTCCCTTACAGGGGCTAGAGCAATGGCCCAGCAGTTTAAAGCACTGCCCTCCTCTTCCAGAGGACCCAGGTTTGGATCCTAGCATCCACATGGTGGCTAACACAGATGTACCTGTAACTACAGTTCCAGGATCCCACACCCTTATTCGGCCTCCATGGGCACTGCATGCATCTGGTGTACTTACATACACGCAGGCAAAACATTCATACACATAAAATAAAAACGAACTTTTAAAAAAGAGGTTCCTGGGGCTGGAGAGATGGCTCATAGGTTAAGAGCAATGACTGCTCTTGCAGAGGACCTGGGTTCGATTCCCAGCACCCATATGGTGGCTACGAACTGTCCTTAACTCCAGTTCTAGGGGAATCTGAAGCCCTCTTTTGACCTCCAAGTCACGGTGCGCTCACATACATACAGGCAATACACTCGCACACATAAAATAAAGGTAATAAATAAAATACTAAAAAAAAAGTCCCACCAGGAGTAGTGGCGTATGCCTTTAATCCCAGCACTCGGGAGGCAGAGTCAGGCAGATCTCTGTGAGTTCACTAGGCCAGTCTGGTCTACATAGTGAGTTCCAGGCCAGCTGGGGCTAGAGGGAGAAGCTGTGAAAAAAAAAAAAAATGTCCCTTACACATTCAGGAGAAATCTTCAGGAGAATTGATCTTATAGCTTTCCAAAGATGGTTTATGCAAAAAAGAGGAAATTCTTTTTCTCTCTTTTTTTTTTTTTTTTGGTTTTTTTGAGAAAGGGCTCCCCTGTAACCCCAGCTGTCCTGGAACTTACTATGTAGACCAGACTGGCCTTGAACTCACAAAGACCCGCTTGCCTCTGCCTCCCAAGTGCTGGGACTAAAGGCATGCGCCACCACCCCAGCTAAGAGGAAATTCTTACGTATCCCCACCCACTTTACATGAGTGGTAGTAGGCTATGCCATTACACATTGCTCTGCACCTTCCTTTTTCCAACAGGTAATGTATCCTAAGCTCTTCAGCCTTGGTCTAATTCCACTGTTATTCATTCTCTATTTTGGACTTTTCTTGGCTACCAGTGCTTGTTTATTTCCTATGTGAACTTTAAAAGTACAAGACAGAACTCAGTTACCTTCTCCAATGCCTTCTCTTTCTTTTGAGCACAGGGCGAAGACAACTGCTTTTTGGGTTGCTTAGAGAACTTCTTTGGTTTCTCTCTTTTCCCTGATAATGGAAGAACATTATTGTGAGAAGGCTCATACCTCTCCAGTTACTTCTAAATAATGGACACATTCCAAAAGTAACAACACTATTAAAAAATTGACCAAAGATATCTGGACAAAACTCAAAAACAGGAAGAAGTCAAAAGGAAGCTACTTTATAGGGGTCTGTTTTCATCACCTTTCATCTTCATACTTGGCAAAAATTGGGGCGGGGGAGTAAGAGCATAATGAAACCCATTACTTTGTACGCTAACTTAAAATGTTGGGGAAAACACTCTTTTTCTTAATCTAATTTGACAGTGGAATCATCCTTTAAATCCAAGATTTCTATTTTAAAAATCATTATCATCTAGAAAAAAATGCAATGTGAAAATGGGGGCAGGCACAGAGCAAAATCTTTAAAGTGAATTTTGCTCAGGAAGGAGGCAGGACAAGGGTAACCTTGGGAAGAAGTGGGGATGGGACCAGTTATATTCTGCACTGCACCATTCTGGAGTCAAAATTCTCAATCTATCCCAGTTGACAATGGAAAATGGAGATGGGGAGAAACAGAGATATTTCTCTAAAAACAATGTACAGAGGTAGAAGTAACATACTGGACAGCTGTTTCCTAAAAGTCTTTGTATATAACCTCCATAAGTTTGTGGTATCATTATAATTTTTTCACAGTACTAGAGGTGCTATGCATGTTGACAGAGAAAGGGAATCATCAGCCTTACCCAGCTGTGAATCCTGTGATCTATAATAACTAGTTTGGCAAAATATGCCCAGTGGTGAAATATTGGCACAAATATTACGAGAGTAACCAAGCACCCTCTAATTAGATTCAAGGCCCATTTCACAATAGGGCATCCACACCTGACACTGTTATCAGGGTCAAGAACCTGTGGCTAGACAGGTCACAGGCCACAGGGGAGAACCTACTATAATCGTTCTGCTAAAGAAACATAATATTGCAGGGCATGATGGCACATGCCTTTAGTCCCTACACTCAGGAGGCAGAGACAGGCAGATCTCTGTGAGTTCAAGGTCAGCCTGCTGGTCTACATAGTGAGTTCCAGGACAGCTGGGGCTACAGGGAGACCTTGTCTCAAAAAGACCAAAAAGAAACTTTTTTTTCAATACAAGGTACTGTGTGTGCACATGTTGTGCGCCAGTACATTGCATGAATGCAGGTGGAGGCCAGAGGTGGACATGTGGCATCTTGCTCTATTGCTATCCATTTCATTGAGACACGATCTCTTACTGAACCTGGAGATAACTGAATTAGCTAGATCAGTAGGTCATTAAGCCCCAGGGATCTTCCTATCCCATCCTCCCCAGTGTGAGGACCACAGGCACATGGGTGCTGGAATCCAAACTCAGGTCCTCATACTTGTGCAGTACTTTACTAACTTAGCTAACTCCCTTGCCCCAAACAATGTACTTTATGGATATTGTTTTGGTGCCAGGACTAGAGAATCTTTTTCTTTTTCAGACAGGGTCTCATGTAGTCTAGGCTGGCCTTCAACTCACTATGAAGCTGATGACTTTGAACTGCTGATTTTTCTGTCGCCACCTCCACAGTGCTGCGAGTACAGGCATATACCACCATACCACCATGTCTAGCTTGGATGAGGTAAATTTTTTTTTAGTTTTTGTTTACATGTGAGTGTGTGTGTGTGTGTGTGTATGTGTGTGTATGCCACATGAATGGGGGTACCCATGGAGGTCAGAAGAATAAGTCACATCCCCTGAAGCTGAGTTGCAGGTAGTTGTGAGCTGCTTTATATGGGTGCTGGGAACCAAACTTGGGGTCCTCTGCAAGAACAACAAGCACTTTTAACTGCTGAGCCATCTCTCCAACCTCTTTTTTTGTTTGTTTGTTTGTTTTTAAGAGTAAGAACAATACATATAGTGCATCACAGTTTATTTTCTCTCTGTCTCTTGTCTGTCACTCTCTCTCTATGCATGTGCACACATGCACATATGGAGTTTGGAGGACAACTTTCAGGCTGGTGGGTCCTAGTAATTGGTTTGGCAGCAAGTGCCTTTATGTGCAGAACCATCTCATCAGCCTGGGTTAGGGAATCTTATGTTTTTTGAGACAGGGTCTCCCTATAGCCCAGCTTGTTTGGAACTCATTATGCAGACAGGCTGACACTGATCTCACAGAGATCCGTCTGCCTCTGTCCCTTTAGTGCTGGGATTAAAGGCATATGCCACCAAGCTAGGCGGGTTAGGGAATCTTAATGAAGTTTCCTTTCTTTTCTTTTTTCCAATGTTGTAATCTACCGTGTAGACATAAAGCCAATTAATTACCCATGCTTGCTTTAAAAGCTCCAGAAAATAACCCTTCACAAACAGCAAGCCGATTTTAACTAAGAAGCCATTACTTTGTTTCCTGGACACTTCCTCTTCATCACCAACTTCATCTTCAGTGACCTCAGATCCAGTGGTATATTCTTCTTCTTCTGAAAATAATGACTGCTGTTTCTAAATTAAACAAACATCTATTACAAACGTAATCTTGTATCTCTAATGAATTCTTTAAAATGCATTTACCTGATTTTTGATGAATGAGTAAAGATCTGACAAAATGCTGGGTGTGGTAATGTCAGCACTTGGGAGGCCGAGGCAGGTGGATGGTGAATTGAGGCCAGCCTGTGCTACATATGAAGATTCTGTCTCAAATGACTACAATGAAACAAACAAAAACCAAGCTGGGGTAGTGGCGTACATCTGTAATCCCACCACTGGGGAGGCAGAGGCAGGAAGATTAGGAGATCGGAGTCATCTTCAATTACATTGCAAGTTTGAGGCCAGCCTGGGCAACATGAAATTAACTGAGAAATCAAATCGACCAACCGACCTTTAACCAACATCAAAAAATCCACAAAACAGCCAGGCGTGATGGTGCATGCCTTTAATCCCAGGACTCAGGAGGCAGAGGCAGGCAGATCTCTGTGAGTTCAAGGCCAGCCTGGTCTACACAGAGTTCCAGGCCTGCTGGGGCTATAGGGAAACCCTGTCTCAAAAAGACTAAAAAAAAAAAAAAAAAAAAAAAAACCAAACAAAAAAAAAAAAAAAAAAAAAAAAAAAAAAAAAAAAATCCACAAAACAAAAACACCCCAAAAAGAACTTAATAGACTTTTTTGCTTAATGCCATGAATGTGATTTTAAAACATTTAAAATTACACTTATTATTTATCTAGCATGTGCGGATGCACGGGTGGAGGGTAGAGGACAACTTGAGAGTCAGTTCCCTTCTTCCACCGTGAGTCCTAGGGATTGAATTTAGGTTGTTAGCCTTGCCAGCAAATACCTTTACTCACTGAGCCATTTGCCAGCCCCTAAATGTGATTTAAAAGTGACTTCAGGGGCTGGAGAGATGGCTCAGTGGTTAAGAACACTGGTTGTTCCTGCAGAAGATCCAGGTTCGAATCCCAGCACCCACATGACAGCTAACAACTGTCCAGTTCCAGGGGATTCAATGGCTTCTTCTGTCCTCCGTGGGCATTGCACAACACAGGTGCACTTACCTACATGCAGACAATACACACATACACATAAAATAAAAATAATAAAATAGACCTCCCTTTATTTCCCTGGACTGCACAGACTCCAGGTGTCCTGGTGGCAGCATCTTTCTTGGTCCCCGGAGCCCTCTGGGCCTGGTCCCGCTCTCCACCTCCCTTTGTTTCCCTGGGCTGCACAGCCTTTGGTGTCCTGGTGTCAGCACCTTTCCTGTCCACCTGACCCTGCCTCCCAAGTGCTGGGATTAAAGCGTGTGTCACCATGCCCGGCTATAGCCACTTTTGAAAGAGATGTATCCTTGCTCTTGCTCTGGAAATTGTTATTGAATATGTTAAAGTTGTAATGAAATGCTTCTTCTAATGTGGTTATTAAATAAAAAAAAATTTTAAATAAGATTAAAAAAATACACAAAAAACGCGACTTTAAAATCTTTTAATGCTGGGCATGGTGGTGTCTGCCTTTAATCCCAGCACTTGGGAGGCAGAGGCAGGTGATCTCTGTGAGATCTGGGCCAGCTTGGTCTACAATAGCAAGTTCCAGGCCCAGCTGACCCTGTCTCATAAAAAACCAAGCCAAAACAACAAAAAAACAAAAAGTGTTTTAACCCGGGGCTAGAAAGCTGGCTCAGCCATTGAGAGCACTTGCTGTTCCTGCAGAAGACCAGAGTTTGCTCCCCAGCACCCAGGTTGAGTAGCTCACAACTATAACTCTAGCTCCAAGGATCTGACACCCTCTTCTGGCCTCTGGAGGCACAGCCTAACACAGGTGCACTTTCATTCAAGTAGGCAGACCATCCAACTCATAAAAATTGGGGCACACACACACACACACACACATACACACACACACACACACACACAAATTTGAAAAACAAGTTTTTTAACTAGAATCCTGTCTCAGCCTCCCAAATGGTGGGACTATACGCGTAAGTCACTGCATCAGATTATGTCTTTCTTAAAGAAATCTATGACATTTTCTAAATAAGTAAAAAATTAGAAAAGCTGAAAAAGATACATATTTAACTAAAATATGCAAAATAAGACTCTAAGATTTTTATCAAACTAAGCTTCAATACAGGAAGCAAGAAGTCCACAACACTGAATACAGCTGCTCACTTACCAGCTGAAGAGTCCAGTTTTTCAGGGACAAGAACTGGAGGGTAGAGGAAGACCAGATTAATAAACTTGCACTATTGGGGCCTTATTTTCACATGGACACTGTACAGCTAAACAAGCTGTAAGTATGGTTTCAAGTTTAAATGGTTTAAAACTCAGGCTGAAAACGATTTATTAGTCTACTGCACCAGCCTTTCAAATCTCCTGGCTAGAATGGCTATCATTAAGAAAACAAATGCCAACAAATGCTGGTAAGGAGGTAGAGGGAGAATTCCTTATTACTGATAGGAATGTAAACCTGTACAGCCACTATGGAAATTCCTCGACAAGGAAAAATAAAACTACCAGGCAGGAAAGACAGCTGAGGTTAAGAGCACTGGCTATTCTTGCAGAGGACCTAGGTTCGATTCCCAGCAACCACATGGAAGCTAACAATTGACTACAACTCCAGTTCCAGGGGAATCCGATGCCTTCTTCTGACCTCTGCAGGCATTGCATGACATGGGTGCACTAACATACATGTAGGCAATACGTTCATACACATAAAATAAAAATAATAAAATATGAAAAAAAGAAAACTACCATAAGACCCACTCTTGTGTACACTCTGTATATACCCAAAGGACTCTAACCACCAACATATCACAGGGATATTTGCATATTCATGTTTATTGCTGCACTATTCGTAATACCAGGAAATGGATCCAGATTAGATGTCCATCAATAAGTTAATGAATATGGCACATATACACAAAAGAATTTATATAGCTGTAAGAAAAATGAAATTATGACATTTGCAGGAAAATAGATGGAACTGTGAATCATTAAGCAGACTCAGGCAAACACTGCATGTTTTCTCTCATATGCAAAATACAAATTTCAAACTGTGTGTGTGTGTGTGTGTATGGGTGTGTGTATGGGTGTGTGTAGGTCACAAAACTGGAAAGGACATCATTAGGGGGTAGGAACAGATCTCAAGGGGGGTGGAAAAAAGAGAGGGTAATGAAATACATATTATAAGAAAGCAGAAGGGAAACTAGGAAAAGAAGGGAACAGCTAGAGGGCAGAGAGGGCATGAGCAAGAACAAAGTATAATGACATGCATGCCTGAAGACACCACGACGAAAACTACTTTATATGCTAACCTAAAAGAATTAATAAAATAAAAATTAAAAAAAAGATATAAACATTTTACACAGATCCACAACAATCAATGAAATTGAAGAAGTAAAATAAAATCTACCCAGGAGGACCATAAGTTCAAGGCCAGCCTGGACCTCATACCAAGACTCTATATCAAACAAAACAAAGCAAATAAGATGAAACTCCTTGTAGAGAGGTTGATGTGGATATTTAGCAAAAAGAAAAAGGGCTGGTGATGTTCAATGGAAGAACACTTGTCTGCATGCACTAGGCTTTTGACTCCCAGCATTGCGGGGGGGGGGGGCAGAGAATCATTACTTTCTAGGATCATTTCCAAAGGACAAGTACATTACATGTAAAGGTAATACAATTTTAGTTAGTTTTTCAACTATTTTAATAACATCTTAATATTTGTATTTATTGTAAATTAAGGAACCGTATAATTAAATATTTTATATGTAATTAATAAATACATAATCTAGTATTTATAGCTTTCTCAATTTTCTAATTTCCTCATGTAAACTCTACCATAACCAACGAGGGCAGGAAGTTAATAGCAGACGGATTTCTCTGAGCTTTAGTAACAAAAGTCAATAGAATCAAAAGGAATCAAAGGTATTTTGATCACTTAAAAATTTTAATTTTGAAACTTTAAAAAAACTTAACCACATTTCTAAAAGAAGTTTATACCAAAATATTTACAGAAAAAGGTGGGAACAAATATGCATTCATAGTACCTTCATTTCTCAATTTATTTGCCCACAGAATTCCTGAAAATAATGCTTTTCCTAAATTTTTATGTTATTAATTGATTGAAGTCAAAGAATGTGTTCTATCACTGCTAGTTTTACTGACTCAGCACAACATTACACTATGATCAGGTAATCAGTTCAATTTCAATTTCAACTGACTAGATTCCTGTAAAGATGAAAAATGCCACAAAAAGTTACTCACAGCATTGAGCTCCCCAGTTTTGGGGCCCCATGGTGTATTTGGTTCCAATAAAACATCACATTCCAGGCCCTTTTCATCACATGAGCCAGCCCCAGGATCACTTGAAATAAAAAGACATTTTTATGGAGAAATATTCCATTAAACACTTTTAAAAATATTTTATTATTTTTATTTTACGTGTATGAGTAGTATTGTCTGCATGTATGTGAGTGCACCCGTGTCATGCAATGCAGCAGAGGTCAGAAGAGGGCTTTGGATTCCCCTGGAACTGGAGTTAAGGATGGTTCATAGCTGCCATGTGGGTGCTGGGAATCGAACCCGGGTCCTCTGTAAGAGCACTGAATACTCTTAACCGCTGAGCCATCTCTCCAGCCCCCAATTAAACATTTTTAAATGACTTTCTTATTGTAAATATTTAGCCAGATGCATGCTGTTGATCCCAGCACTCAAGAGGAAGAGGCAGGTGGATCTCTGTGAGACTGAGGCCAGCCTGGTCCAGAGTGGGAGTCCCAGGCTAGCTGGGGTTACAGGGAGAGCTTGTCTTAAAAAAAAAAAAAAAAAGAAAAAGAAAAAAAAATGTAACACAAAAGCAAATGTACACTGTAACATGTACGGATCCCTGTTTTTACTAATCCCTGCAACCGGCTGCCATTGATTCATATCACTACAAAACAGGAAGTCAGTTCTTAACTATAAGAAAGTCACCTTAGGGGCCGGGCATGCCTTTAATCCCAGCACTCAGGAGGCAGAGGCAGGGGGGGCTCTGTGGGGTCCAAGGCAGCCTGGGCTACACAATGAGGTTCCGGGAAACTGGGGGTACAGGGGGGCCCTTTTTCAAAAAAAACAAAAAAAAAAAAATAAAAAAAAAAAAAAAAAAAAAAAAAAAAAAAAAAAACAAACCTCACCTTAATATTTACATTTTAGTATTTTGTGTACAAATGTATTGCCTGCATGTATGTAAATGTGCTCATGTTGTGCAATGCTCGTGGATGTCAGAAGAGGGCATTGACAGATAAAAAGTAGCTATATGATGAATAGGGATGATCAGGAGAAAAGAGTTTACAAGCAAAGGAGCACATGGGACAGATTCCCTTCCCGGGAGGTAAAATGTCTGCCCCGGGTTGTGAGCTGGGATCTTTTTAAGGGGGAGGCTTCTGCTTCCTGCAGAAGGTGGGAAGATGTATTTTTTTTTTTAAGTTGGGTGGGGGAGAGGGGCAGGGGGGTGGATAGTGGGAGAGCGGGACTGTTAAAACCTGTTCTCTTTAGAAATCAAAGGGGAAGTCTGCTGTGTTGGCCAAACAGTGCAGAAAAGTCTGCTTCTCTTGACTTCAAAGACCAAGGTGCTTATCAGCTCCCTTCCCTTTTCTCAGGAGCTTGAGATGTCCTTGAGACCCTGTTGGTGAGGGGGCGGGGCTATCTAAACCTTAACAGGCATCAGATTCCCTGCTACTGGAGTTACAGATGGTTGTTATTCACCATGTGGGTGCTGGGACTCGAACCTGGCTCTTCTGCTAAGAGCAGCCAGTGCTCTTACCACTGAGCCATCTCTCCAGCCCCAATGTTTATATTTTAAAATTTGTCTAGTAATTTCTCTAGCAAGTCATCATACACAAAGCACACCCTTAGACTAGAAACATGGTTACCTACCAGGTGGTAGTAGTAAAAAGGCTGCTGATTGGTACTGCTTTGACAACAGCCTCTTTTATTTTTACTTATTTATTTTTATTGATTTTTTTTGTATTTCATTCAGAACATCTCAAACAATCTTAATCATCTTTATACCCACTCTCTCCATGGATACCCTCCCATAGCCACCCCCACCGAAGCCCATATACTCTGTCATCCCTATTACCACCGTGTTGTCAGTGCCCCAGCCGTTCCCCAGTATAAGTCCATCTGCAAAATCTAGTCAGTCTATCTAGAGTCCCTTGTTTAAGGAAGATCAGCTCTTCTTCAGTTGCAGCAGCAATCAGTTGCCAACATTCCTTTAGATAAGATTGGGGCCTGCCTTTCATTTTCTCAGTTCTATGCTGAGTCACTGTCTGCCTGAGTTTGCATGGAACTTATGTATGCTGACACCTATGCCATAGAATCCTATGAGCAGGTTCCCAGGAGCTTGTAGGGCTCTGTTTCTATATGGTCATGCACATCCTCCCTGACTCTTACACTCTTTCTGCCCCCTCCTCTACAACACTCCCTGAGCCTTGGGTGGATGAAATTTAATAAAGGGGTCCTGTCCGAGGACCATTATTTAGCAGTCTCTTGATCTCTACACTTTGGCCATTTGTGACCTTTTGTGTTCCTGACCCTTTGTTGCATGAGGGAGCTTCATTATTGAGAACTGATTCATGAGTGTCCTCTTCTTTAAAACTGTTCTATGTTCCATGAGCCTTAGGTGTAGAGACTGCATTGCAGATGTGTCCCTTAGGCCTAGGCAATTCATAGACAATGCGGACGTATGACCAGTGTGGTACTTGGTATTAGTCTCTGACTGCTGCAAAATGAGATTCTTTGATGAGTGGTGACTGGGATATTTGTCTGTAAATATAAGGATACATACTTAGCACATAGTAAGAAATCACATTAGTTTAGCAATGTGAGAGTTTTGGGGTTTTCTCTAAGAACTATGAACACTCCGGCCATGTGTATTAGGTTATGTTACAGTACCACACTTGAGTTTCCTCCCTTTGAGTGGGCTTTTAGTCAAATTAGGTAGCTGTTGATTGCTCCCAAGATAAAAGTGCTACTACTGCACCAATGGAGTATGCTGTGCTGGCCATTGATGTGGTTATTTCGTATTGAAGCTGATGCTGGATCATCCGTTGATGTTTTCCCTTGGCACTTTCATAGCGTTCTCCAAAGCTCTGAGAGCTCACCTTCAGGGGAAGTGGCTTCCAGAGAAGTTGCAGCTCTATTTCTCCAAATCTTGTGTCTGATGTATGTTCTGTCTTTGGCAATAGGGACTTACCTTCAAGTTCTAGGAGGCCATCAAGGGCTGTAGCAATAGACTGAGTAATTTTGGGAGTCTCTTGGACTACCCTGGCCAACAACTCAAAGGAAGGTATCTCCTGTCTGGCACTGTTTCTTGTTACGTAGCATTCAGCTATACACATGGACTCATATAGAGATAATGTATGTATAATTTGTCAGTAGCGTGTTGGACTAATATGGTTCCCTCTGGTTTTTTAAAACTAAATAGGCATTATTCATTTCTTTCACTGTCTAACCCTTCTTCCATGGTTTCCCCATTTTTCCCTTGATAATACCCTTCTATGGTCCCACCTCTCTGGAGTTCCTTCTTTCCCTTTATCCCCAAGATTCTTTGTATAACCCTCCCTCTACCCTCCCATTTAAATAACCCCATTTTTATCCATATCTCCCTTATTAACACCTGTTTCCTACTGTTCTTCTCTCTCAGCTTCTTTCTTTTCCTTTACCTCACTGTTTCCTTACTCTTGTCCTGGTTCCTGCAGTTATGTCTGTTTGCATACTTATTTATCAAAGTCTGATCCTAGGATCCACATATGAGGGAGAACATATGTCGTTTGTTTTTCTGAGACTGTGTTACTTCACTTAGTATAACAGTTTTTAGTTCCATCTATTTATCTGCAAATTTCATGATTTCATCTTTCTTTACTTCTGAGTAGAACTCCATCATATAAATGCACCACATTTTCCTTATCCACTCGTCAGTTGAGGGAAACTTAGGTTGCTTCCATCTCTTAGCTATTGTGAAAAGAGCAGCAACAAACATGGATGTACAAGTGTCTCTGCAATAGGAATGAGTTCTTTGGGTATATGCCAAGGAGTGGTATAACCAAGTCAAATGATGTGTTCATTTTTAGTTTTTTAAGGGTTTTCCACACTGCTTTCCATAAGGGTTGCACAAGTTTGCAGTCCCACCAGCAGTGAATGAGTGTTCCCCTTTCCCCACATCCTCTCCAATATTTGGTATCATTTGTTCTCTTGATCTCAGCCAGTCTGACTGGGGTAAAATGAAATCTTAAAGTGGTTTTAATTTGCATTTCTCTAATTACTAACGATGTTGAACACCTTTCAAGATGCTTTTTAGCCATCTTTATTTCTTCTTTTGAGAACCCTCTATTCAGCTCCTTAGCCCATCTTTTAATTGAGTTGTTTTCTTGATTCTTTGTTTTTTGAGTTCTTTATATATTGTAGATGTTAAACCTCTGTCAGATGTGTAGCTGGTGAAGATTTTCTCCCACTGTGGGTTTTCACTTCACTTCCATGGTTGCTTCTTTTGATGTACAGAAGTTTAGTTTAATGAGGTCCCATCTGTTGATTCTTGACGTTATTTCCTGAGCAACTGATGTCCGGTTTAGAAAATCCTTTCCTACACCTATATCTTGTAGGTTATTGCCTATGTTTTCTTCTAATAGTTTCAGAGTTTCAGGCTTCACATTGCGGTCTTTGATCCATTTGGAGTTGACTTTTGTGCAAGATGAAAGATAGGGGTTTAGTTTCTTTCATTCTATAGGTAGAGATCCAGTTTTGCCAGCACCACTTGTTGAACACGTTGTCTTTCCTCCAGTGAATGTTCTCGGCCCCTTTGTCAAATATCAGGTGGCAGAAATTGCATGTACTCATACTTGGTTCTTCAGTTTTGTTCCATTGATCTATGGGCCTATTTTTGTGCCAGTACCATGTTGCTTTTATGACTCTGTAATATAGTTTAAAATCTGGTACAGTAATCCCCCCAGCATTGCTCTTAGTGCTCGGGGTTGCTTTGGCTATCTGAGGTCTTTTGTGAATTTTAGGATGGCTTTTTCCAATTCTGTGAAGAATGTCATGGGGATTTTGCTTGGCATTGCATTGAATCTATAAATGGCTTTTGGTAGGATGGTCATTTCACAATATTAATTCTTCCAATTCATGAGCATGGTAGGCCCTTCCATCTTCTGATGTCTTCCTCAATCTCTTTCTTTAAAGATTTAAAATTTTCATTGTAGAGGTCTTTAATGTCTTTGGTCAGGTTTATTCCGAGATTTTGTTGTTGTTGAGGCTATTGTGAAAGGGAATGTTTCCACGTACTCTTTCTCTGATTGCTTGGTATATAGAAGGGCTACAGACTTTTGTAGATTAATTCTGTAATGTGCCACTTTACTGAATGTGTTAATCATTTCTAGGAGTTTTCTGGTTGAATTTTTGGTGTCTCTTAGATATAATACCATATCGCCAACAGAGAGTCCTCTAGCCTACCACCTGCTGCAGCTACAAAATAAAGGGAGTGATCGCAGACATTTACAAGTTCAAACTTATGGAAAGATGATCTCAACCACCAACTCTATGCCCCCTATTTGTATCAACCAAGTGTTTAAAAGGGCTCAGCACTGGAGACACAGCTCAGTGCTAGAAGGCTCTCCTAGCATGCTTGAGGACCTAGGTTTCATCCCAGGATGGTAGAGTGATACGAGGGTGAGGGGACTTAAGAAACATGGGGGAAGAGTTGAGAGCCTTCAGATCCTGGTTTTAGAATTCCAAATTTTTTAGTTTTTAAACATATTTATTATTTTTATTTTATGTGTATTGTCTGCATGTATGTAAGTGCACCCATGTCGTGCAATGTCCGGGGAGGTCAGAAGAGGGCAACAGATCACCTGGAACTGGAGTTACAAATGGTTGTTAGCTGCCAGGTGGATGCTGGGAATCGAACCTGGAACTCTGCAAAAGCAGCCAGTGCTGTTAAGCACTGGGCCATTTCTCCAGCCCCACCTTTTATTGATTTTTTTAAAATTGATTTTTATTTTATGTGTATGAATGTATTGTCTGTATGTATGCAGACGCATCTGTGTTGTGCAATGCCTGCAGAGGACAGAAGCGGGCCTCGGAACTTGAGCTATGGATGGTAGTTAGCTACCATGTGGATGCTGGGATTGGAACCACCGCTTTTAACTGCTGATCCATCTCTCCAGTCCAGGATCCCAACCTTTTTTGTTATTAAGACTCTTAGTTTTTCCTCCCCTTGGACCCTCAATATTTCTGTTTGTTTTTTTTTTTTTTCTTTTTTTTGGTCTTTTTGAGACAGGGTCTCTCTGTAGCCCCAGCTGTCCTGGAACTCACTGTGTAGACCAGGCTGGCCTTGAACTCACAGAGATCCACCTGCCTCTGCCTTCCGAGTGCTGGGATTAAAGGCGTGCGCCACCATGCCCAGCAATATTTCTGCTTTATCTGTTAAGTGAAATTGTTTACTTTACTATAAACAACATAATTGCATTTAAGCTATTCCTCCTACCTTCTTCTCTCTGTAGTGCTGGGATCAAACTAGGTCCTTGCACATGCAAAGCAAGTGCTCTGCCCTTCACTTAGGGATACCCAGAGTGATATCCCTAACCCTTCAACATTCTGCAATAATAACTATTTAACTGCTGATGTATTTAACATTACTGATTTGGGGAAACACTAGGGAGTAGATCATGAAATGGAAACACCTTATTAAGCTGCAAAATAGTGTTGTTTTTGCTCACCTAACTGTATCTTTAGAAAAAGGCACAACAATAACATCTTTGTGCCTATGCAGATCAGTCAGTATTCTAGTAGTTGGACCAGACAGCAAATCCTCACCTTCACCTTGATCATGAAGAATAACCATGTGGTCTATCACTTTACAGCCCTGCCAAATGTAAGAGACACTAAGTTAGATGTAGGTCATTATAAAAACAGTATTTTAAGAAACTGAGTGCTCCCCACTAAACAGGATGCCTATCAGCCCTATCCCAACAGAGGAAGAGACAGAGGACAAGGAGGGGGCTGTGACACGCTGTCTTCTGGACATGGCATGGCCGTCACACTCATGAACTTACAGCAGATGTGCTTACCTGTACAAGATCAAGTCAGTCAAAATCCTGACATAGATGGGGTGGATGATCTCCAGGCTCTTCCCCTTATTGTGGAGCAATGTGTAGTTGATAGTTGCTGGGGGAGGATGTGGCTTCTGGTAGGATTCCTATGCTCCAGAGGATGGCTCCCTACCCATCCATACATATGGGCAGCACTAACTTGACTTACTAAAAAAAGGTGACTTGGGAGGAGCACATATTGGGAGACATATGGTGAAGTTGGAGGGAAGAAACAAGGGGTAGATATGATCCTATTTTATTGTATATCTGTATGAAATTCTTAAGAATAAAGAAAAATTAAAAATTTTTAGAGATAGGGGTCTCACTGTGTAGCCCTGCCTGGTCTGGAACTTGCTATGCAGATTGGACTGGCCTTGAACTCACAGAAATCCACCAGCCTCTGTCTTACATGTACTGGTAAGATTAAAGGTGTGTTGTCATCCTCTTCCCAGACAACTGTATGTAATTTGGTCCTAATCACACATGGCCTCCTGGATTTGGGGAGGGCTAAAGTATTCAATCTGGGGAAGGCTAGGAAGAGAAGGCAGACTCATACTGAGTAAAGGTTTTCCAGTGTGCATACCCTCAGGTCATACATACACCTCAGCAACCCCTCAGT